TGGAAATCAAATTGTTTTCAGTGAGATAACCGTAAACCTGGTCGTAAATGATACGCTCAAACACCTTAGCTACTATAGGGACGATAGAAATTGGGCGATAATTGTTTAAGTCGGAGTGATCTCCCTCTTTGAAAAGTGGGATAACCTTTGCGCATTTCCATTCCTGAGGGAAAACACCTGATCTGATGGACTGATTAAAAATAGAACACAATGGATCAGCTATCAGATCGGCGCACTCCCTAAGAAGTCGCGAAGATATCATATCTAAGCCTGTGGCTTTCGATTTACAAAGCTTAGACAAAAGTGAGAACACTTTAGAAGGATTAATACATTTTAACTCAAAACGTTTGTCAGTTCCCTCAAGGTAATGTAGGTGTGATGGACCATTATTAGAATAAATCTGGCTAGCAAGCTTGGGTCCAATAGAAGAAAAGTGATTGTTGAAGGCATCGGCCAGCTCAGGAGGGCCGTAAATAGAGTTACCGTTGCTTTTGATTTCTTTTATGGAACAATTATTAGTTTTCCTCGACATGAGCTCATTTACAATCCTCCATGTCTGGCGCGAATTGCCTTCGTTTTCATCTAATGCTCTTTTATAAAAGAGCTCTTTTGCTTTTTTGATTTCGTTATTAACTAGGTTGCGACATTTTTTAAATTGTAGCCAGTCATTAGCATCCTTAGAACGCGATGCTTTCAATTTAAGGATATCTCTGTCATGCATTCGTTTCTTTAAGTAAGGTGTAATCCAAGGTGACTTTGAGGCGCGCGCCCGTTTTACATGAAGTGGGGCATGCTTGTTTACACATTCCAGGAATAGTTGTTTCCATGCAGCCCACATTAAATTAGGATCAGAATAGCTTTCGATGCTACTCCAATCCTGTTGACCTATATCGTTACGAAAGTGATCAGAGTTAAAATTCTTAAATTTCCTATATCTCAGGGTAGTATGCTTATTCGTTGTCGATTCAATAGAAACTTTACGAAAAACGTAAACTAAACTGTGATCGCTGATGCCTATATGTGAGACCCCTGAGCAGACGACCCTATCTGGAGTATTTGTAAAAATTAGATCAATTAAAGTACGTGATTTGTCGGTAATTCTAGTATGTTCAGTTATTAACTGGTCAAGGCCGTAAACATCAGCAATATTAGATAAGATAATTGTACTTTTGTCAAACTTAGGTGCGGCCATATTACAATTCAGATCTCCTAAGACGTAATATTCGATATTTTCTGAGTCTAGTTTTCCAATAAGTTCTTCAAATGGTCTAAAAAGGTAAATTGAAGAATCAGGGGGTCTATACCAGGTCATAACGGCAAAAGGCCTTGATCTGGGCTTCTTGATTTCGACAGTCAGACTTTCTATTTGTTCACATATTAGATCAGAGCGAACAGAATAATTGATTTCGGAACGAATAAAAAAACAAACACCCCCTCCAGACCTACCGTTAGTAGAGCGATCTCTACGAATAGATTCATAGCCAGAAATATGAATTTCATTATCGCCTATTGTGTCATCCAATTTAGTTTCATTTATGGCTAAGATATCGATAGGTCTGTCGGAAAGCAAAATTCTTAGTTCATCAATGTGTGCAGAAAGACTATTGATATTTAGCGAGGCCAATTTAAAGCCTCGTTTAGGCGGGAGATCTATTTGTAACAGGTCTCGGCTGATAAATGATTTCATAGCTGATCACAACGTCGACCTCTTTGCCCTGTCAGAGACGTGGCTTCGTGGTGATGACTCGGATTTATATTATATCCGTGACATATGTCCAAACGGATATGTTTTCCACCATGTCCCTCGATTACGTACTACTGGTGGCGGGGTTGGCATTGTTTTCAAGAATAATATCAAGGGAAAAATTCAAGCACATGAATCCTATTGCTCTTTCGAACATCTTGAGCTGGAACTCACGGTTACAAAGTGTTTTGTCCGTTTAATTTTCTTGTACCGTCCTCCTTCATCCGATGTGTCACTGTTTTTTTGATGAGTTTGCCGGCTTTCTTGCCCATATAGTAACGACATCAGGCCATTTGCTGATTGTTGGTGACTTCAACTTTCATGTTGAATCTCAAAATAATGCCAGTCGGCGATTTACTGGCCTTATTCATTCATTTGACCTTCGCCAGCATGTAAATGATTCTACACATAACAGTGGCCATACCCTTGACCTGGTTATCACTAGAGAGGAACAATCTTTCATCAAGAATCTCTCAGTCTTTGATCCTGCACTTTCTGATCATTTTATGATCCGGTGTAATCTAGATTTTTATAAACCTGTTGCTCAAGATCAAATGTTATCTTTTCGACGTTTACGTGCCATAGATATGGATAAGTTCTCCTCTGACCTGGAAGATTCCGCGCTAATTAGATCACCTCTAAATGATGACCTTCCATTAACAATTGATCAATTCAACTCCACTCTTCAATCTATAATCGACAATCATGCCCCAATCATTCGCAGGTCTGTTACTCTTCGCCCTTATGCGGCATGGTTTACGGATGAAATTAAAGTTGCAAAGAGAAAGAGAAGAAAACTGGAAAGACGATGGCGCGCGAATAACAACGAAGCTAATCTATTATACACCAAACATTGTCACGAGGTGAATCACTTGATTCGTTGCGCAAAAGAGAACTACTTTTCATCTATAATTGAAAGCAGCCAAGGAGATCAGAAGATATTATTTCAAGAAGTTAATAATTTGTTATACAGGAAACCGACAGTATGCTATCCTTCTGTGGGTTCTGATATGGCTATAGCTGAAAAGTTCAAATCATTCTTTATTAACAAGA